AAAATCACCCAGGAACTCCTGGTGTGGCACTGTGGGTTAATGCACCAGACTGCAAAGCTGTTTGAACTGCAAGGTAGTCAGTTCAAGCTCACTAGCTGCTCCTTGGAGCTCCTATACAGGTCGCTATGGGTCGGAACCAACTTGACAGCACTTAACAACAAATCACCCAGATTAAAAGAAATACAAGGATATCAAGAGACAGATGAAATCTTAGTCTTCAAGATTACAACTAACTCTTCTTATTCTCTACCTTGCATACAATTTTCAATTTATTCTGAACTAACAAACCTCGTCTTTCTTTCCTGTAACAATCACTAGAACTCTATTATCTCCTTTTGATTTTCATAGTCTGTGAGATATTATCTTCAAAGGAAATACATGAAATAAGTATGTTTTAGGTCTTGTGATTCTACTCACCAAATGAGCCACTATGGTAACATGATGTGCAGAGAGTTCAGCAGTGCCATAGCTGAAACAGAAAGAAAAGGCAATCTTTCTGTTTGTATAGCTATTCAGAAAAAGATGAATTTTCATCATGCACTAAATATTCTGATAGGAACATACACTGTTGTTGTAAGTGCTGTTGAGGCAATTCCAATTCATAGCAACCCTGTATAGGGTTTCTGAGCAACAGCTGGTGGGTCTGAACCACAGAATTTGTGGTTCATAATCCATTCAGTGCTAACCCTACAATGCTACACAAGTCTGATGGGGGCACATAAACTGCAGCTATTTCCATGACCAAGGAGTATGGCAATATATAAAACTACTTAATACTCATCTGCTGGCCTGAGCCATAGAAAGGAAAGAAGAAAATAATTTCTTATTTTAGCGTCATAATATGAAATCAATGGACTCCTAGTGTGGTGCTGTAGAATCAGCAGTGGACTGATTCTATACAGGGTCGCTATGAGTTGGAACTGACTAGACGGCACTTAACAACAACAAATTGAAGAATTAAAACAATTTCTCTGCTAATAAGTAAAAAATCATTTACTGTCATTCACTAATTTAAAAAATGAGGTATGTTGTACCGAGCAAGGAAGCACCAGGCATCCATGGCTAACAAAGAGGTGATCATTTTAGCACTAAGCACAGCATTCAACAGTGCAACATCCTAAAAAACAAAACAAAAAACAGTATTGTTATATTAACTTATGTGTATGTTAAAGTTCACAATAGCGTAGTGGTTATGAGTCAGGCTGCTAGCCTCAAGGTCAGCAGTTTGAACTATCAGTCATTCCACGGGAGATAGATGAGATTTTCTGCTCCCGTGACAGACAATTTACAGCCTCAGAAACTCTATACAGGGTCACTATGAGTTGAACCGACTCCATGGCACACAGCTACCACCACCAATATGACATTGCTAAAAGGAAACAAAAGAGTACTAACAGAATCCAAATATCAGATTCTCACTGGCTAACCTCTACTTCTTAATATCTTATAGAGCTTGTTGTTGTTGATAAGTGCTGTTGAGTCCGTTTCGACCCATAGCGACCCTGTATAGGGTTTCCGAGGAGCTTTTGGTGAGCTTGAACCACCGTCCTTGCAGTTCAAATGATTCTGCAGTCTGGCACATTAACCCACAGCACCACACCAGGACTTCTTATGCTGCTACAATTCCCTCAACATTTATTGGGCGCCTACTTCTTAGTGCTGGCATATGGGGATTCAAAAGTGGTTTTAAACGGGGTAAATAAATCACTACTCTCCACAAAGATACTCTAAATACTCTAAAATTGACACAAAAAAGATGTTTATACTTTTATTCCTACCTTTAAGTATTCAAATACTCACAATACTTAATATTTTCTATTTCTTACTCACTGGCATATATTAAATGACAGTGATATTTACCCAAATTCTAAAAATGTTCCCTCACAATTTTCTCAGCCTCTTTTCTAATTCAATAAAAAGAAAGCAAGTAAAATATTTCTATATTATATCTAAGATCTAAAGAGAATCTGGTACTACATAATATTCATTTGTCATTTTTTAAAAGAAATTGGATTAGGTAAAACTTTACACATTTTTCCTCTTCTTACAAGTCTTTTCCTTATCTCACCACCCACAATGTTTTCCAATATTTTAGCTAAATACTAGTATATAAATAGTTTAGGAATCATGGATTACCTCTTCCTAGAATATATATATATATATAAACACACACACACACATATATATATATGTAATTGAATTTTTTAAAAGTATACATATATACATAGATTATTGAATCAAAAGTTAAAATGTGAGAGTATGATGTTCAAAAGAATAAATATTAACTGTCCTCACAGTTTGTTTCTGAATTATAGTAACAATAAGTTATTATAAAATTTGTTAATGTTATTAAAGAATATAACCACAGTTTGGCCCAGCAAGTGACAAGCTTACCAGTTCAGGAAAGAGTGCTGGATGACAGGAAGCAATAAATGTACACAGATGAACACAAACATGCTGATACAAAGTGACAGCAACCTGAGCTTGTCCTTTACCCTTTACTCCCAACAAACAAACAGGTAGAGATAGTTCACCAGAACACTGTTCAAAACTGTAGAAAATAGCTTTGAGTAGAGATATCCTGCAGGGAATGAGAACATTGAATCTAACATTAACAACTTGCAGGAATGATAGTAATAATCTGACATTTGGAGGTTATTTTTAGCAAAGCTTATGTCTCAAGATAATGTATCAACAATAGTTTCCAATATATGTGAATATCCATACATAAAAATAAACTATACCCAATGATCGAAATCCTTGTACATTTTTAAAAATCATTTATCAAATATAGTAAGTCAAAAAGCACTGCTACAAAAGCATAGAAACTTTTATTAAACAAGCCTATCAAAATGTGAAGCTATTGTTTCTTAACATATCCTCCCCATCTAAGTCTATATACTTCTATTGGTGCTGTTTGCATCTCTTCCCCCAAATAACTCTACGCTCTTTGATTCATATGACAAAACGGCACTTTTGGCATCCTTGAGGGACTCAAACTTTGCTTCTTCAAAATGCTCTTTGAATTTTGAGAACAAACAGATGCCTGATCTGGGCTGCAGGGTTGACAGGGTAAGGATTCCCACCAAAATTCTCATTGGACAATCCTTCCTATCCATAATGAATGAATAGGTACATTGTCATAATGGAAAAATTCTTCTGTACAACTTTCTTGACATTTTCTTACTAATGCTGTTTTCAACTTTATTAAAGCTTCTTAACAATAAGACCCCATGATTGTCCTGGGTTCTTCAAGAAAATCTATCAAGATTACCTCTTGGGGATTCCCAAATAGAGTCACACCACAGTCTTCTGAGCTAGACCAAGGTAATTGGCCAACTATTACAATTGGCCATTCAATTACAATTGAATGTAATTGGCTCAGCAGACCCTCCTGGAAACCACGGCTTTGATTGCACCCTTTTATTGGAAGGTACCCTAATGAGACTGAGACACGTGTTAATTATTGAGAGATCTTGTCTATAGCAATCACAGAGACATGTTTAAACATGTTTTGTTGGGAATAAACAGTGCATGTATGAGCTGGAACCCAGTAACAAAACTTTTTGACTTACATACCAGGAACAAAGTACTGAGCTATACAAAGTCAAAGTTATGGAACTTAAAATTTAAATGGTTACATTACAATCTATATATATAATAGAAACAAGTGTTATAGTTTTTAAAGTGAGAGGTTATTCAAAGACTGAAAGAGTTGACAAAACCTTAAGAATCTAAAATACATTTAAAAATAAACAAATAGGTAAAGAAAAAAGTATGAGGCAGATGTGAACAAATAGATTGATGGAAGCAAGAGAGTGTGCAGACTTTGCGTGAATGGATGAGGAGCAACAGGCAACAAGCACAAGAAAATGTGGAAGGAAGAATAGGCTGGCAATACAAAGCTGAGTTCAATGCTTTAGTCAGAGACAAGGAAGTTCATAACCAGACTTTAGGGAGACTAACCTGTTAGTGGTTCAGAATGTCTTAAGAAAGGGTGAGAACTGAGTGGCAATATCCAGACAGTAAGAAACTAAGGCCTGGAATATGGTGTTGGCAAAGCACATGAATACAAGTGAAATTTCCAAGGAAATGAATACCTTGAAGTATCTAGCATTCTATTTATCAGAATTAATTTTTAAATGTTACTTATTATATCTACATTATATTACCATCAATGTTTATAATGCTAACCATTAGGGAAAAGTCTTCTAAAACACTGAACATAATTTAAAACATTTTTAGCATTACTATCCATGGGAAAAAGAGGCTTTCTGCTCCTACAAAAGATTTACATCCTTGGAAACCCTATACAGGGTTGCTATGAGTCGGAACTTACTAAACGGCACTTTCTTGTGGGCGCTGTAGGATCAGCACTGAACTGTGAACCACAAGGTCAGCAGTTTAAACCCACAAACTACTCCTTGGAAACCCGATACAGGGTTGCTGTGAGTTGGAACTGACTCGACAGCACTCAACAAATACACACACATACACTCACACACATTAGAACGCAAGGTCAGTGGTTCAAACTCACCATCCATTCTTTGAAAACCTTATACAGGGTCACTATGAGTTAAAACCGACATGATGGCACTTAACAACAACAACATCACACACATATATATGGTGGTGGTGTGCCGTGAGTTGGAACCAACTCATAGTGACCCTGTACAGGGTTTCCGAGGCTGTAAATCTTGATGGGAGCAGAAAGCTTCATCTTTCTCCTGCGGAAGAGTTGGTAGTTTCGAACTGCTGACCTTGAGGTTAGCAATCCAACTAGTAACCACCATACTATCAGAGCTCCATATATACATATAAAGTGCCATTTAGTGGGAACCAACTCATAATAACCGTTATAGGGTTTCTGAGGCTGTAAATCTTTACCAAAGCAGAAAGACTCATCTGTCTCCCATGGAGTGGTTGATGGGTTTGAATTCCTGATTTTGTGGTTAGCAGTCCAGTGCTGATCCTACAGTGCCACACCAGTCATTAGCGCTAGTCCTAAGCAAAAAGTTTTGATCTTTACTCATGATAACCCATGTATGTCAAAGTTGAACTATGATCAAAGGGCTGTCAACGACTGATTTTTCAGAAGTAGGTCACCAAGCCATTCTTCTGAGGTGCCTCTGGGTGAGCTCTAACTTCAACGTTTCAGTTTGCAGTTAAATGTATTAAATAACTGTTTGTACCAACCAGGGTTTCTCCTAAACAATTAGCTTGAGTAAAGCGCTGGACTCCTCTACAGGGTGGTACAAGAACATCCACTTGCTGTATACAAAGGCTGCCTCCATATTTTATTTGAACAGCAGCAGCACAGTCATTACAGTAAACCACCTGTAATATGAGTGGATAAAACAGCATGGTTGTTACCTGTTTATAGCTTCTGAGATCTGACTTTCTGTGCACCACAGCATCTGCAGGTCCTCAGACTGGGAAGGCAGCTTAGCCAGGATGACAACCAGAAGAAGACACTGTGGGAACTGGAGTTCACATGGCAGATCTTATGGGTGTTAAAAACACATTAATTGTAACAAGTCTGTAAAAACACTCCCTGAATCTTTTCAGCAGAAATTTGATTGTGATATGTAAAGAAACTGGAGACATACTTTTTGTTAAAAGAAAACAGCCAATTGAAATGAAAATAGAAGAAATTTATTTTTTTTCTTTATCTACACACACAAAAAAATGATTAATAACTTCAGAAAGAAAATAACCCCGACTCTAATATGGCATAGTAAAGGTAATGATTTCACATAAAGTCTGTTTTGCAGCTTACCCAATTTGCTGTCTAAAACTACTTGCATAAAAGGATGGCATGTGAGAAGCTGAGTGATGAGTGGATCCAGTGTCACTAGGAAATTGCCTGCTATATCCTCCTGCCATGCTTTGGAAATCACGGTAGCATACAGGCTTGGAGGAAACTTGCTGGAAAGAGAGGAGGTAAAAAAATCTCACACATCAGTAGTTACCTTCTAATTTTAGGTACAAGTGCTGCAAGTGATGTTCTTCTAGTAGTGAAAACATGTAAAAAATAAGTAACATATATTTTATTAAATAAGCTTCAACATATTTAACTGGTACTAGAAATACTAGGCAGACTTTGGAACTAAATAATATGGCTATGCCAAACCCAACCCAACCCACTGCACTGAATGGATTCTCACTCATAGCGACCCTACACTATGGAGCAGAAGTGCCTCACGAGGGTTCCAATACTGGAATCTTTACAGAGGAAGACTGTCACATCCTGCTACCTCAAAGCACCTCATGGGTTCGAAATAGTGACTTTTTGGTTAATAGCCAAGTGCTTTAATAAACTATGATGCAACCAGGGCTTAACTAATGTGGCTATAACCCTACAATATTAAAGTATGTAATTTTACAGAAATCTTTGAAATTGTTCTGTTGCATTTTAATATTATGTTTTAATAATGGCGTCCTTAAAATAATATAAAATGATGAATTCTAAATTAACCAGTAAAAGACTAGAATGAAGGCAATTATGAAAAATTCTGGCTTACTTACTTTCATTGAAAAATTGTTTTAAAATAGACAGAATGCTGACTTTACTATGAACTAATGCTCTCAGGATCCTGCTTTAACACTGTAAGTTAAACAGTGGACTGCTAACGTCAATGTAAGCAGCAGAAATCCACCAAAGTGCTCCTCAGAAACTCTAGACAGGGTTGCTATGAGTCAGAAATGACTGACAGCAGTTAACAACACTGTTGTTTCTCAGAAGAGCCTTACAAGAAGCAAACTATATATGAGTATTAACACTGAAGGAGGTCCCAAAGATTTTTCATGAAAAGTGCCTCAGAAATTTGAGTTTAAACTAAATTTCAAGCACAACCTATGTGAAAAAAAAAAGTTCAATATGTTTTGTTGGTGCTGTAGGGTAAGCACTGGACTGCTAGCCATAACATGGGTGGTTCAAACCCACCAGTTACTCCCCATAAACCCTATAAAGGATCACTATGAGTCAGAACTAATTTGGTGGCAACAGTTTAATTGTGTTAAGCTTGACAGCACATGTGGAAACTGTCTATAAGAGGATAACAGCATTTAAAAGGATGCACTTAATGATAAACTTGAAACCTTGCTAGGATGATGGAAAAAGTACCTGCTCTGTCAATTACTAGTTGCATGACTTTGGGTTATTCATTTGACTTTCTTAAGCCTTAGATATTTTCTTTTTAACACTGACTGAAAGTTGTTGTGATGATTAAATTATAATAAAGGGAGAAAGCTGTATGTAAAAAAGGTATTAAGAACTCCATAGACTTAAACTAGAGCTACAGAATATCAAAGAAATTATGAGTTTCTCAACCAAATGCTATTTTAAAAAAATTAATTTGAAAAATGTTTAATAAGTACCTATCACATACCAACACTGTTATAGAATAAGATGATACAGCAGTAAACAGAACATACAAAGTCACTGCCTTTTCTGAGTTTACATTCTAAGGAGGGAGGCAGTAATACATAATACAGTAGATGTTAATATTGCTATGAAGAAAATAATAAAACAAAGAAAGATGGAGAAATAGTTCTAGAGGATTACTATTTTATATAGATAAATGCCAGTGGACAGTTTAAGCACAGAAGTGATATGATACCAGTTTTGTCTTTTATTGTTCATTTTTGCCACTGCATGAAGAACAGATTAGAGCAAGGAAAGTGTGGAAGTAAAAATAGCAGTATAGGGTGTGATGAAATAGAACAGATTCAGTTCAGGTGACATACAGAACGTAACACTGACAAAACCTGTTAAAGGACTAGATGCCAGGGCACGAGAGCAAGGTTCTCTGATCTAAACAGTTTGAAAAATCAAGTTGCCATTGTAACTGGAATGAGGAAAACCCTTAGAGATTTGGGGGCGAGGAGGAATGAGATATGGTAGGACAAGAATTCCATTTGGAAAAATTTAAGTGGAGATGTACTGATTGGCAGCTAGACATTCTTATCTAGCATTCAGGAGAAAGTAAAGTCTTCCGACTAAATGCAGATAGAAAAAAAGAGAGAGAGGTCCTAAACAGTGAGCACTAGGGAATCTTACAGAAGCTTGTGGGAATCTGCTAAGAAAACAGAGAAAGATCTGGAGAGATTAGAAGACACCAAGAGGACGAGATACTTAGAAGCCAATAGGAGAAAGTGTTCAAAAGGAAGGGTCAAATGCTACTGCTGGTTGCATATAAGGCCTAAGAACTCATCATACGACATCATGGATGAAAGTCACCGATGACCTAGACAAAAGCTGTCTGGATCAAGTGGTGGGCGACTGGAACCACTTCAAGAAAGGAAATAATGGTAGTGGTACTACAGACAACTCTTCCTAGGTGCTGTGCTAATAAAAGATGCCCAAGAAATGGAAGGCAGCAGATGACAGAGATGTAAAGTCAAGAGATCTTGTTAATTTGTTTTGCAATGTTATTAAAATGAAAGAAATAACAGCACATTTGTATATTCATGAGGCTGATCCAAGATGCAAGAAAGAAAGGGAAAACTAGCTATAGTGAGGTCCCAGAAGGTATGAGTGAGGATGAGATCTAATGCATAAAAGTAGAGTTGGTTTTGGACAGACAGAGGTTGTCCACTCATAATAACAATGGAGTCAGTGTGTTGGTGGGACTATAATGAAATTCTCTTGCAACTGCTTCCAGTTTTCTCAATGACACAGAAGTAAGATGACTGGCTGAGAATGAGGTGCTGGAGACATAGGAAGTTTAAAAACGGAGAGGTGTGAAAAGTTGTCTAGGAAGGAGAAGAGTAGGACCACTAGGTAAATAAACTGACAGGTCATTTTAGTGTCTAATTTAAGACTTGAATGCAGTAAACTGCTTGGTGCAGCTCTTCTAGCCACAGTTTTTGCATCGCCCACCAAATGACTTTTTCCAGATAGGTAAAATAAGGTGATAGGATGATATGATTCAGTTGTTAGTGATGGTTACTAGTTACTGTGATTGAAAAATGTGGAACTCTAATGAGGGGATTGGTCAAATTTGTCATCCTGCTAGGTTTACAATGAGCCCATCTCCGAAGCAGGACAGGGGAAATCTCAGTACTAGAAAGAAAAGAAGAGCCAGGTGCTCACTTCAGCAGCACATAAACTAAAATTGGAATGATACAGAGAAGATTAGCATGGCCCCTACGCAAGGATGACACACAAATTCGTGAAGCATTCCATATTTTTTAACAATTAGGCAGGTTTGTGTGGGCTAAGTGGGACAGAGGTGAATAATGATGTGTGCACAACCTTGGAACAACAGGGGTATGGGATACAGGGACTGAGACATCGTTGGAATGGGAAAAGGTGGGGGATAATGTTAAGATGCTTGGCT